TGCAGAATCCCTCACAAAATAAAAACACATATTGGTATGATGAAATGTTCGAAAAATACTCATCATTTCCTCGATTACAGCGAATATTGGCTTATATTCTGCGTTTTGTACGTAACATCAAGGAAGATAATATGCCTCCGCTCAAGTGGCCATTGGCCAGAGTCACTGAAACTGTCAAAGGCACAGATGGAAAAGTTAGAATTGTTAAGCTTAAAACATCTGATGGAAGTTTCACACGTTCAATAGCAAAGGTTTGTTCCTTACCAGAAAGTGTTAACTTATTGCCCCCACATAATAACCCTGAGTATTAGATATACTATAATCTTCCTCATTGTCTCAATTTCTTAATTCTTAAGTTTCGTAATGTATTTTTTCAATAACTCTCATAATTCTCCTCTTGTAATCTCTTTTAATTTCTTGAAGTTGGAAACTTCAACCCGGGGCAAAATGTTGTGGAAACAGCCAAACAATCGTATTTATTTTTTATGATCACAGTGGCAACGTTGCAAAAAAGCCCCCCGCCGTGAAACTTTGCCGCTGGCGCCGTACCAGGCTGTACGCATCGACCGAGTCTGGTTTGTTGTCGCTAAGGGAAAAAATGCATTCCTTATATTTTTCACTTCGCAGTGTGATTTGTGATTTTAGTAGTGTGGTTTCACTAGCAGTAAATAGTGCGTAAAAACGTCTAGCTCTATACAAGTTTGAACCTGCTCACTTTTCTCTAATTATTTAATTATTCTCTCTAGTTGCACCCTTGTGCAGTCTCTCTCTCTCTCGCTCTCTAAATAAAATGACTTATTTTTTTTATCTCTCTGGCTGCTGGCTTGAAAACTCAAGTGATATAATATCGCGTAAAACATTGAGTTAATCACACTCCCCTTTTTTAAGGACTCTCTAAAAATATAAAAACTCTCAACTCCCGAAGATTTCTATTAAGAATAAACTTTATCTTGTGCTCTCAATTAAAATATTAGCGTTCCGCTAATACTGAAAATTATTGTTAAATTGACTATTGAGCACTTAGCAATTAGTGAATTTATACCGATTAGTGAATGTTCTCGAATAACTCAAATGCGACTTGTTAACTAACCTGTGAATAATTAAAAGTACTTGAATGTGGTTACAGTATTTATTACTTTATTAAACGATTATTTTGGCAACAATAGAGAGATATAAACTGGAAGTGTGAGTGCATTATTTAACAGTGACATCCCCATTCCCTTTATGATCCAGTGATCTATCCCTAAATTAAATGTTGACACCTCAGTTAGAGGCCCTAACTCTCATTTTCCTTACAGGAAATCATGCAAAGTTCTTGTCTGACACATTATTTCTTATGACAAACACAGACATGATAGAGATACACCTATCGAACTTTATATCATTGAAATCTGCAAAAGCAATCCAATGAGCTATCAATATACAGGGTGTCTCATTTGAAAAAATGTAGGTTTGGTTCATAATTTAAATTACTTCTAGTAAAAATATCTACAGTGAGTTCGTAAAGCGGCGCATCAATTCATTAATTTGAAAACGGTAGAATTTTTGAAAAATCGCTCAGACACGTCAATTTTGTTTTTTTGTTTGAAATTTTTCGATATATTTTTTATCATACAGGGTCTCAAAAATAGCTTCGCTGGTATCAACTAAGTTTTTTTTAAATAGTTGACATTTCTGGATTCTGCGGAAAATTCTAGACATATTTAATGTACAATGTCATATACCTTCAACTGTTTCGGAAATATTGACTTTTTTGCTTCTTTGACAGACTGTAAAACTTGAACGGTTGAATTAACAGGAAAACTGATCATACATTATTATCTTAGTTTTTCATAAACTATGATTTGACACCAACTTTGAAATTAATCCATGATTAAAAATTCCGGTTAAATTTAATCTGCGGTAAAATTCAAAGTTGGTGTCAAATGATAGCTTATGAAAAGCTACAGACAAGAATGTGAAATTGGGTTTGCTGTAAAATTAACCGTTTAGGTTTTACAGCCTGCTAAAGTTGCAAAAAAGTCAATTTTCAACTGTCAATATTTCCGAAACAGTTGAAGATAGGTATATGACATTGTACATGAAATATGTCTAGAATTTTCTGCAGAATCGAGAAATGTCATAATATACAGGAGGTACCATTTAAAAAAATTGAGTTGATACCAGTGGAGCTATTTTTGAGACACAGTATGATAAAAAATATATCGAAACATTTAAAAAAAAAACAAAATTGACGTGTCTGAGCGATTTTTCAAAAATTCTACCGTTTTCAAAATAATGAATTTATGCGGAACTTTATGAACTCACTGTAGATATTTTTACTAGAAGTGATTTAAATTATAAACCAAACATACATTTTTTCAAATAAGACACCCTTTTCTAATAAGTGATCGAAAAGATGACAACGGACATCTTTTCGATCACTTATGAGAAAATCCGAGATACATGGAGTGTCCCAAAATGCAAATTTTTCAAAAACACCTTGTATCTGAAAAAACCAAAAAAGCGATAACAATTCTGTTGGCGACATCTTTCGTTTGACAAAAAAGTAGCCAAAGTTCGTGAAAAACGCATCCTTCGAATTCCAATGGCAACCGAGTAATTCCTTATGTACAACCAAAATCGGACACCCTGAACATGAACCCATTGTTCGAGCACGAATAACTATTGTAGTAGGGTTCAAAGCTGCTTCTATCGTGTCATCCCGTTTGCACTTTATTGCTAAAATGTAAGGACCACTTTTTATCATTTCTGATACCCTAACAATGAAAAATCAACATGTCCAAAAATCGTAAGGTCCAGGAAGTGGTGGGGGTGGATTTTGCAAAAAATGCCCAATTTTTTTTTTATGATTTCTACATCTAACACACACGACCATTAAATTGACAAAATCAGATTTCAATATTTTCATTAGCAACTATTTTTTTTTTTAAATTTCAAAACACCCTTCATAATGCTTTCTTATGGAGTTCCTTAACGAATAAACGCTTGTCCTGAAAACTCATTTTTATGTTATTATGTAAAAAGTCAATTTTCAACTGTCAATATTTCCGAAACAGTTGAAGATAGGTATATGACATTGTACATGAAATATGTCTAGAATTTTCTGCAGAATCGAGAAATGTCATAATATACAGGAGGTACCATTTAAAAAAATTGAGTTGATACCAGTGGAGCTATTTTTGAGACACAGTATGATAAAAAATATATCGAAACATTTAAAAAAAAAACAAAATTGACGTGTCTGAGCGATTTTTCAAAAATTCTACCGTTTTCAAAATAATGAATTTATGCGGAACTTTATGAACTCACTGTAGATATTTTTACTAGAAGTGATTTAAATTATAAACCAAACATACATTTTTTCAAATAAGACACCCTTTTCTAATAAGTGATCGAAAAGATGACAACGGACATCTTTTCGATCACTTATGAGAAAATCCGAGATACATGGAGTGTCCCAAAATGCAAATTTTTCAAAAACACCTTGTATCTGAAAAAACCAAAAAAGCGATAACAATTCTGTTGGCGACATCTTTCGTTTGACAAAAAAGTAGCCAAAGTTCGTGAAAAACGCATCCTTCGAATTCCAATGGCAACCGAGTAATTCCTTATGTACAACCAAAATCGGACACCCTGAACATGAACCCATTGTTCGAGCACGAATAACTATTGTAGTAGGGTTCAAAGCTGCTTCTATCGTGTCATCCGTGTCATCCCGTTTGCACTTTATTGCTAAAATGTAAGGACCACTTTTTATCATTTCTGATACCCTAACAATGAAAAATCAACATGTCCAAAAATCGTAAGGTCCAGGAAGTGGTGGGGGTGGATTTTGCAAAAAATGCCCAATTTTTTTTTTATGATTTCTACATCTAACACACACGACCATTAAATTGACAAAATCAGATTTCAATATTTTCATTAGCAACTATTTTTTTTTTTAAATTTCAAAACACCCTTCATAATGCTTTCTTATGGAGTTCCTTAACGAATAAACGCTTGTCCTGAAAACTCATTTTTATGTTATCGTTCACCTCGTTGTTAGTTGAAAACCATTTGGTTTATCAAAAAATCGTCTTCTATAAACGTTATGCATTGAAGATCAGGGAATACATTAGTTTTTTCAAAATCCTAATCCGATGGATAGTTTTTTTTTAAATTAGCAAATTGTGAAGTCATGTCGCGAATACCGCTGCCACCAGCGAAGCTGCGAGGAAGGTTTATATTTGCGTGGGCCGTCAGGCAATAAACGACCTAGTGGTTCCGACGTGCGCTTAGGACTATTTTCGCTTGCAGTCCTCTTCTGCTGCGATTATAGAGTATTAATTAGGGTATCTTGAATGCGTATTATGTTATAATATTATTAAGATCAAAAACTAAACTACTTTAAACCTATTGGCCTTTTTATAGATCAGTTTTTTCCTAATAATTATGTGTATTTACAGGGACTTTTGCACTCAATTAGCCATTTATTGTAGGAATCAATGTTCTCATGAAGCTTTCATACGTTAATATAGGGGCTCGTATTGCTGTATTATTTTTTTTTTTATCCTAAAACCCTATCAACGGTAGATTGCCCATATAGAGCCCACTCTCCATCGGAAATGCCTGAACTTGCCATAAATTGTCCAATGATTTTTAAAAAGTTCATAATAACATCTTATGATGACGGTTCAAACTGTATAATTATCTGAGACATATATGAGGTAACCAAGATAAATATCCATATAGGTTTGTATGTTGATACATGAAATTATGTTCAAAAAACTTGTGAAATCCTAACCAATGCAAAATTATCCAAGCCCTATTTTGATATGTAACGTCATAACCGAGGTCATAACTAAGACTTTGACCTTCTTCTGTAATAATATTCCGATTTTCTCCTGCTACTCTATTAGACTTGGTATAGTATATTTTTTCAATTGAATGAAACTCATCGAGAATAGTGACTTTTAAATTATAGGTCAGAAATTTGAAGTTTCCAGGTTTGGTTTCATTTATTGGACTCTTTGAATTGCTGCCATTTGGGTTCCGTGAAATGTAGGTACTTTGTCTAAAGTTTCTTCCATCAATATTATCTGCAGTAAACTGAACAAATCTATTGGATACCATAATTGGCTAGGGATTGTTACATGAGTATTTTCATTTTCATTGGGCAATGCTATTAAGTACTCTTGAGTATCAGTGTAAGATATCGAGTGACCACAAGCGTGAACTGCTTCAACAAGTTTTTTTGACCTGGTTTCCTGATGGACCAATAGTTCCAAACCTAAAGGGCCCAAAAGGGTATAGTTTTTTCCAATTGAACATGCAAAAATGATATCTTGGCCAATATTGAGTACTTCAGATTCTTTTTTGTCATAACATGAGTCGCTTATTATTATTATGAGGAGACATCAAAAAATAATAATAATTATTTGGAATACTTATACTTTTTGTAATCAATTACATACTATATTCAAATTTTTCAATTCGGCATTATTTTGCACTTCATTTATTTACATTGTGAGATTTAGGCAAATCTTTATCAAAATTTCTAGTTCTGACGGACCAAAGGACAAATTGGGAATTTCAGTTTCAGTGTGCGCACTACTGTTTGAATCGCTTGCTCCTTAGAAAAATGTTTTAAAAAAATTCTTGGTTCGTTTTGCCTTGAAGTTTCTATTAATTCAATATCGTCGCCAAACTTATCTTCAACTTTTTTAACTAAAAGTAGGTCGCTTGAATCTACTTCTCGGCTAATTTTGCGATATCTTTTACATACTTACTGATGTGGAATAGCCTTCTCCTTTTTGGAAACCCTTCTCCAATTCACTAAATAACTTGTTCGCCTATTCTGGAGTGAGATATTTTTGGCAAAATACGCATTTTTGAACCTCGAATGGAATTATTGTTCATAATGGCCGTTTTTGAGTTGAATTCGGCAGAAGAACGCCAGGGCCGGTATTCTCGTCCTCGAAAACGCTCACCGCTTTTCAGTCGCTCGGCACTTTCAATGTAAATTTACATTAGAAGTGCCGAGCGACTTAAAAGCGGTGAGCGTTTTCGGGAACGAGAATACCGGCCCAGGACTAGTTTTCGAGTATTTTGCTTTGTAGGAAGTGATATTTTTGGAACAGGCATACGTTTTGTAGCAGTTTTTATGCGATTGAAAATTGTTCTTTAATGTCAACAAAGTTCAAAAAAATATGCATGGAAGTATATAGCATCCTTGCCTTTACATATAGGTATATCCATGCGGATTTTTATAGATTGAATCAAGTTTTGCTTGGATATTTTGTTTTGACGTTAATAACGTTCCGCATTCTTGACAAATAACATAAAAGGTACCTGTCCCAAATAAGGCCATGTTAAGAAGTTTTATTTTTTTTCTACATTATCCACCAAACCTAACAAAAATCACGAGCTTATATGTGAATTGTTTCGCTTCTATTACTTGAATTTTAACACCAATTTATATATTTTCTCATATAAGTGATTGTTTTTGCGTAAAACAAAGACGCTTACCATTGGCCTTATTTGAATCACTATGCTCCTAATAAGGCCACCATCAAAAATGTTTAAAATAAATACAATTATTTATAAAAATATTATTTTTTGAGAAATAGTACACAAAATAGAACTTAAACGCTCGCTGCATTCTAGAAAAAACAATAATTTCAAGTCCTGAGGACTTGATCCAAATAGGTCTAGGTACATACAACTAGGACAAATGAACCGTAATTTCTCATGCTTGGTTACACTCCAGGCGTTCTAAAACACATCACTTAGGTAATAATATGACACATTCGTTTAAAACACTATGATGTGAGGCCGATTGAACATTTTTCATATGGCCTTATTAGGAACATGTCAAACTGTTAAAAAAAAGTCTGTAACTAGAAATCTAGCAAAGATATTATTCTGTACTTACTCTGTAGCTTTCTCAATACATAAATGTCCATGTAAAAATTACATTCGCTCCATTCACTTTATAAACATGTGTATAAACTAATTAAGTTCCAGCCTTAAAGTTACAACGTGACATATGAAATATGTGGTTGGCCATTTTCCGACATATAACGAGTTGCTAGGAACCCTCGCAATAATTTTTGATTTGCATTATAAATTAAAAAAAATAATAATATTGTAATTTTTGAAAATGGGATTCAATATTAAGCGATAAAGGGCACTGGCCTTATTAGGTACATGGCCTTATTTGGGTCAGGTACCTTAATTGAAAATTTGAAACTTTCCCCTGATTTTTTGCAGCTACTTTCGTAAAGGATTTTTGATGGTCGACTATACTTCGCTATCGGTACTGGTACTGCATTCAAGTAAATCTATAAAAAACATTTAAATAAAAACATAACAATATTATTAAACTTTTTTTGTCAAAAATTTATATTATGTTTGTCAAAAGCCACACAAACTATTAGTGAAACACACAAAAAAGCAATCAGGGTTAAAAACTATTCAACTTCACCATAAACTTAAACCAGAACTATCAATAATTGGTACTAAGACACTTTAAAATCCGGACATAGAAAAAAACATTATATGAAAACACTAAAACAATGTTTTTTAGCGACCCTACATCCCATGTCGCGCGAAAACGATCCTAACCGCACCTCGGAACCACTAGGTCGTTTATTGCCTGACGGCCCACGCAAATATAAACCTTCCTCGCAGCTTCGCTGACGACAGCGGTATTCACGACATGACTTCACAATTTGCTAATTTAAAAAAAAACTATCCATCGGATTAGAATTTTAAAAAAACTAATGTATTTCCTGATCTTCAATGCATAACGTTTATAGAAGACGATTTTTTGATAAACCAAATGGTTTTCAACTAACAACGAGGTGAACGATAACATAAAAATGAGTTTTCAGGACAAGCGTTTATTCGTTAAGGAACTCCATAAGAAAGCATTATGAAGGGTGTTTTGAAAATTAAAAAAAAAATAGTTGCTAATGAAAATATTGAAATCTGATTTTGTCAGTTTAATGGTCGTGTGTGTTAGATGTAAAAATCATAAAAAAAAATTTTGGGCATTTTTTGCAAAATCCACCCCCACCACTTCCTGGACCGTACGATTTTTGGACGACATGTTGATTTTGCATTGTTAGGGTATTAGAAATGATAAAAAGTAGTCCTTAAATTTTAGCAATAAAGTGCAAACGAAAATCTGTTTTAAGCGACTTCTGCGAGCGAATTCTCACACGAATCCGATTTGGCTGATTGAATAGGATGTCATAACGCCTATCGGACATTCACACATTGAACACTAGTCATAGGATTAAGTTGTGCTGATGGTAGCTATTGATCAGAAAGACCAGATCTATAACATACTAAAATTTGGTTGAATTTGACCGCGGTCAGAAATCCCATAAGAAGTGTCCTTTCGAATGAAATATACCGAAAACAAGAATACAGAATGAAGTCCATAAATCTGATCTGTCGTGCCCCGACAGCAACATCTGAAACAATTATTTGCTAAAGGACCAACTCATTGCTATCAAAGACCAAATATTTTTTATAAAATCTTAGTTTTTTAATTTTTCCAGTAAAAATTATATATTTTTTCCCAATTAGCTGCAATATCTACTTCTCCCATCATTTGGTAGTATTTGACACCTATAGCTATAACAAGAACGTGATTAACAAAAATGTTTAATTAGTTGGTTTGTAAGATCTTTAGAGATTTTATGCAAAACTTTCTTACTTTATCCGAGTTAATTTTAAGTTAGGAAGTTTTTATAAAGCGTATACCTTGATGAGCTTCATCAAAAGTTTTCAGAGCCCATTGAAGTGATATAATATGCTTTTTAAATAATTATAAGTAAACCTAGGTACAGAAAATATTTATTTTTGAACTAATAATAAATAGTGATTCGAGAATACATATTCAGGCCATTAAACGAAAAAATGGGAGGCATCTGGATTCCTGAAATATGTATTGAGTGTGGTTTTTATTCAAGCATTGGAATTTGGCAAGTAAGCGGGCTTTTGTTTTAGTTTTAATTGCATCAGGCAATGGGTAAGTGTTAATAAAAAATTCACAAAAGCTGTTTTTTAATTTTTTTGGCCTACTTTAGATACTGACTGCATTTATAATGTACTAGCTCAGAAGCATTACCTACCTTGAAGGAAAAATCGATCTAAAGATTACCATAAATTATATGGCTGTAATATTTTTCCGATAAGAAACTTATAGTAGGTACCTACTTGTGAAAAGTTACAATTAATTTTTTTTTAAATGCTCTACGATGGTATATGCCCAAAACTGGTAAGTAAGCAAAAAACGATTTTCACACCAACGCCATCACAAATGGCACACTTATTGATAAATTTCATCTAACAATAGGAATACAAAAAAAAGTTTTTGTACTACTCGGAAACGATCAGAATTCCGCAGTACGTGTGGTTGTGCTTTATGAGACAATGGAAAAATCCGAATTCTCAATCATTGGGTACCTACTGGCGCTACTTGCAGACCGGTTTCAACAATATAACTTCAAAACAAAAGCAGTCACAACATAATTGGAAAATCTTTAAGAGCATATAAACGGATACGTTTCCCTGGAAAATCCTTTATTCGAACCCAGTGACATTCCATTAATGGACTGGCCCTGGCTGGCCATATTCTCGAACAGCGTTTGTTTGCAGCCAAAATTAGTAAGACAGGTCCGAGATAGATGGAACTATTGGTGGCGAAAACTCATATTTTTATCTATTGGTGACGAAAACTCATATTTTCATCTAACTTATTATTCTTATCTGAAGTTCTGTTATTACGTAGCATGTTTTATACTCTATACCTTTTTCTTTTTGTGTAGGTTGTCATTCTGCCATCTCATTTTGCATTGTGTCGTCCACTATTAACTCTATCCTTCTCGCACTGCGTTGGATTCAATAAATTGCTGTCAAGAGCCGGTCCATAGTGAAATTTAATGTTATGTCATTGTTCGAACCTGGGGTGCGATTTTCGAAACCATTCGAGTACATTTCGTACACGAAATTTGACTGACAGCAATGTAAATTAAATGGGGAGCAGTCAAATTTCGTGTACGAAATGTACTCGAATGGTCTCGAAAATCGCACCCCTGAACCAGCACCCTATATTTTCGCTATGATTTCTCAGATTTACCTTCACATCACTGAGTAGACTCCAGGACAAATGTCCATAACTCTTTTTCAAGTAGGTACTTATAGTCCAATAAACGGGGATCTGAAAAGAGGATTTACCTCAACATAATTAGAA